AAACGCACCTTTCATTAATGGTCTCTGGTGAGGATTTTCAAATAAGTAGACGCTTCAATCATTGATTATGCACAAAGAGACCAGTTAGAAGGGACTCTGCTTGACGACAACTGTGGCATATTATGCACATTGACATCGAAAGGGAGCATACGATACTCAAAATCTAGGTCTTTAGATATCTTAACCCTTTCCTCAACTAACAGGGCTCTCCTTGTCCATCTCTCTCTCATGTCTTTCAAATTCATTGTGTGTGTAATCCATACTGACCATCTTATCCTGTTTAAGTCTTCAATATCCCTCCTCGCAACTGAGGTATCTGGATACCAATGATCACTTTTGTTTTGATCTGAATATACCTAACAGAACAGAAGCCATACCATAAATTATTATAACGGAAAGAATATTACTCACTTCGTTTCAATTTGTCTGTTTGGTTTTGACTTGGTAAATGGAGTTTTAGGAAGTTAAGAATACTTTTGAATCTTATGGTCTTAAGCATTGTGATGTGGAAAGTTTATGTTAAAAGGCTGCAAAAAGGAAAGAGATGTTTTTTTTAGACGAACTAAAAAGGAAAGTAAGACAAAGAAATTGAAACGGATGAGTAACTGGTTTCTTGCTTATGATGAGAAGCAAGTCAAAAGGTGGCGTTTTGTTCCATCTATTTCATATTATGCACATTGAGATTGAGAGGTAGCATACGATACTCAATAACTAGCTTTCTGGATATCTTAACCATTTCCTCAACTAACAGGGCTCTCCTTGTCCATCTCTCTCTCATGTCTTTCAAATTCATTGTGTGTGTAATCCATACTGACCATCTTATCCTATTTAAGTCTTCAATATCCCTCATCACAACTGAGGTATCTGGATACCAATGATCACTTTTGTTCTAATCTGAATGTACCTAACAGAACAGAAGTCATACCATAAATTATTATAACGGAAAGAATATTACTCACTTCGTTTCAATTTGTTTGTTTGGTTTTGACTTGGTAAATGGAGTTTTAGGAAGTTAAGAATACTTTTGAATCTTATGGTCTTAAACATTGTGATGTGGAAAGTTTATGTTAAAAGGTTGCAAAAAGGAAAGAGATGTTTTTTTAAGATGAACTCAAAAGGAAAGTAAGACAAAGAAATTGAAACGGAGGAGTAACTGGTTTCTTGCTTATGCTGAGAAGCAAGTCAAAAGGGGGTGTTTTGTTCCGTCTATTTTACCAACAGTAATAATTCCAAAAAAAAGTCAAGATAGGTGATTTGTGTGTAGGGAGACTACTAAGATGAGTGTAATCTTATTGTGAGCATCATAAAAGAGCAAGTCAACCACTATAATGCAAGAGATCCGTAAAAGAAACAACTAAAATTTATCAATGGAAGATGAATAGTTGTATATACCTTGTTATTTTCTCTTTCATCAATGCTATTTTTTCCATAGGAGTTGAGGTATACATGCAGAATTCGATTGCATCTCAGGACTGCGATAGTAGTTACTTATGGGCTTTGTAGATAAGACATTGTTGGGATATATGATCTTCAAGTTATCATATTTCAGGAGTACCGTTGTCAATGTATTCATCTCTTCTACAATCAGCTGAAACCCAAGAATCAGAAAAGGTCCTTTAATATACAAAGTCGAATGGTATCTAAAGATCTATATTAGAGTGGATGAATTCTTACATGAACTCTGTCTATTTCAACACAATGCCCTACATCAAATGGGTGTATCACAAATAAGAATATTATTGCCTTGAATGTTGTCTTGGCAGTGTTTCCAAACATGAATACGACCATCAGAACCTGAGAGCTCATAAAGACCAGGAAATGTGTAGTGGAAACATTGAGTATAAGAAGACAGACGACCAGTATGATAACCCCTACTAAGATGTTCAACAAGTGATGCAGTTTGTTCACAACAGTCTTTGTGTCTCAGTCGCCATGTGGCCTGAATCTCGATAAGTGCAGGTACCTGGGGAGATGAGTGCAACAATGTTAACTCCAAGGGTAAATTCATATTAGTACCATTGATGAGGGTAGCGTATGGTAATAGTCTGCAATAATTGGCAGTAATTTGATGCATAAAAAAAGTTATCCGTAAGATGCACCGTGCGAGTAACCTAAGGCTAGCAGTAACAGATATATTTATATATTATAAAGAAAGTTTTTATAATTGCTAGGGGACTGCAGGTAAGCAGAAGAGCCAATAATAGTCCATATAATTGTTGCCTCAAGGGGATGTAACAAAGTCGATTAGTGCCCTGTACATGCTAGTTTGTATGGTATTTTCCTTCTGGACTGTGAAGCAGAGTTGGTGTGATTGTGATGCATACAAGAGGGTGGCAGTAAGATGTAAATGTCAGAAGTAACACATATATGGGAAACTTGTAATTACAAATGGCAGGGGATTGTGATTCACCGAAACTAAAACAAATCAAGTCTAGAAATAGGAATATATGTTATAGTAAATAGTATTGCTTATTTAAGCGAAGATTTGAATAATAAGCTTAGCAAAAATAATATTGCAGATTCTTTTGTGAATGTTCAACGTGGATCGTCATATATATCTCTTATTTACGCAAACCTATGAAGATGGTCAATGAAAAAATTTATTAGTTATATGTAATAATGTATATATTTATTTCAATTTGATGAGGTTAAATCATGCAATTAAGTCTTATCTCATTAATATTACCTTATAGACAATATTTGCTTTGTATTTTTCTTGTCATCTAACAAGATGTGTTTTGCATATGTATTCCACTTTAAATTGCATAGATGCCATATGAACATGTGAAGAGAACAACTACATTTTATATATTCACATATTTTCACATTTGTTGCGAGGTTTTTTTTCGGAATATTTTAAAATAATATATTTTGAAGTTAGAAGATCTTGTTAACTTGATAATACATTTGTGATATATATAATACTTTAATTTAAATACAAATACCTACCCAAATATAAAAATATATTTGCATTAATGGAAATAATTATCTCATAAAATTAACTATTAAATAAACAATAAATATTAAACTAATACAAATTCCAACTGACTTTATTACATTTAATATGAACTTTTCTTCGTCTAAAATGCTGAAATATTAAGAAATAGTAAACAAGTAAAACAAAAGGGCAATGTTTATATAGTAATGACTATTTTGAAGCAAACTTCATGAGAGTCTAAATCACATAAGTAACATTGATAAATAAAGTCATTCTTTTGCCTTGAGCATCAAAAACAAATCGTGACAATTATCTAAATTTTGGGAAAGAATTCAAAAGCATATATCTACATCACAAGAGAAATGATAACAAAAACAAATGAATTTAGCCTTACTTCTCAGAATAGTGGTACCTCATATTCCGCTAAACTTTGAACTCCCTCAACGACCATAAATCACACAAAAAGTTTTGAAATGCAAGAAGAAGAAAAGTAGAAGATTGAAAAAATTGTGGTTGAAAAATGAGAGGAAGCCCCTCTATTTATAGTCAACAAAGGGTAGTATGAACAAATGTTTTTTGTGTCTTATTTGAAAAGTCATTAACTTTTCGAAAAGTCACAATCCTTTGAAAAAGTCACAAGTTATTGAAAAAGTCACAACTCTTTGGAAAAGTCACAA